GTCTTCCCTGACTAATTCTCATGTGAATTAGAACTTATCTTTTAGACAAACACTCAATCACCATTTCAGTTTTCTAATTGTGCAATTACAATCACTCTTTAAATACCCATTGCACCTGGAGAACTCTGGTTTGTTTTCAACCCTATAGCTTTAGCACTCTATAACTGAAAGGAGTTTTATCACACTCGTTTGTGGGAGCCACAATTCTGAATAGCCTGTCCAGGTCCATTTCTTTAAACCACCCTTTGAAGGCTACTGAAAAGCTTTTTCAGCTGAAAAAGCCTGAAAGTAAGTGCCAGTGAGGGAGGATTTGAACTGATGTCAGTAACAATACAGTAATTTTGAATTAGTGACTCAATGTTTGAAGATAAAGCACAATTCATCAAAGATAAAACTGATTAGCTCAATCCTGCAACTGTGCATGCACTTAATGAAGTTTACTGACACGAGTGGGGCCCATCTGCAGGTGATGCAGAGGAGCAAGCTGGCTGCAGTCCAGGAAGGATATTGGGATCTGCTTAACTTTAAACAACACAAGCACACCCCTCGATTGTTARCGCTTTAGTGCGACTACACTTGTGTTTAAAATTAACTCTGTGCTTGAACATTTTACTGGCTTGTATCTTGCTGCTCTCCACGTAGTGGGATAAAACACTGATGAAGCAGAGCTGGAATGCCTGATGCCACCCTGACCTTGGCAAAAAACTACAACAGTGTTACCAACTGTGCACCAATTTATACAAATGCTGTGTCTAAAACAAAGCATAGGCAGATAAGCCTGCTGACAGTTTTGATCACCCTGTGACACCTCAAATTAAGACTGCTTTAGCATAATAGAGATAAAAATGTTCTCATAGATACAAGGAGTCTTTAGAAAAATTACTAACCAGACCATTTCTTACTAAAGACAGAACAGTGTAAGTGCAAGCGGTTCAGCAAAGTTAATTTACTTTTCTGCTTTTCAGCTTACATGTCTGAAAAAATTGGGAAGAAACCCATTCTAGGCACTCTTGGGTAGAGAAATAAAACAATCTTGGTGTGCATCAATCTCCGTTGTGTCCTGATACGGTCTCACACAGGAGTGATGCTTTGATTCCAGGGAAGACACTGAGCTGATTTTCTTAGAACTACCTTCTAATCAAAAGGTAAATTCTGCATTAAACTCTCATACATACGAGGGCACCTTAGCACTCCTCAGAATCTTTAATGCAAAACTGGAGCTCAGATTTCTGCAACTTTCAGCCTTAGCTGCCAACTTTTGTGGGTTTACATTTCACTTTTCCCTAAACCTGGATGGGAGGGGATACACAGATGCCAGAGGACATCAAGTAGTGGTTTTATATGACTATTTGTATTAGCAAAGAAAAATTGCACAAAACAGATGAGTCCTGTGTCATGCCCAGAACAGTAGACACTGACTTTGTATCTGCTGCTATGAAAAGAGCCGTTGTTCTGTGGTTCCTCTAATTCATAGTCAGGGTCAGAGAGGAGCTGTGGACTCCAGTTAATGAGTTAGGGCAGTAAAACAGAGACAGAGATAAAGAAAACTGAAATCAAACACAACCTGGTTTCTTCAAAAAATGGCAAAAAACAAACAGGAAAGGATATTTAATAATTGCAAAAAAAAAAAAAAATTACAATTGCAAAGAACTAGGGACAACAACCCCAAAATGGTATACGTGCAGGAGTTATTTTTGGACTTGCTGACTCCATGAAGACAGAGGCATAGACTGATACGTATGTATCCATCTTTTTGCCACTAGGGAAAAAAATCAAAATAYATTATAAAAAACTGTCTTCATTAGAGATAGGAAAGAAAAAGGTAAGGCATATAAATTTAACATCTAGATTACATTCTAATTTCGGGTGAGTTCTGAACCCAAGTGAAACAYTTGTTAATCTACTCCAAACAAAACCAGTTTGAATATAAGTGGTATATTATTCTAATTTGCAGGCAAGCAATGTGAGAATAATTTTCTTCATTTAACTTCAAACTCTAAAGACCAATAAATAAAAATAGGCTTCCATTTTGTCTTGTGATAAAGGCTTTGGGCACTTTGTACTGTTTGGTTGATGGTGATTACTATTTTTTTCTGGCACAGGCTAAATCCACTACAGAGCTTATTGGGTAGACACCACGGAGGCAATGCCAGATGCTGACATCCATGTCTTCRTTTTCTTATGGCACCCACCAAAAGTCATAGGGATTCTAGAATTCAGAGGTAAGTAACACTCATGCTTTTCATCYCAAAGCATCATGAATAAGCTCCTTTCACTTTTAAGGCAGACTGAAACTACTGCTGCTTTGAGGGAGTATTTGATGGCAGCAGCTTTTGACAGTGACATGATTTCAGAACTTAGGAAGTCAACAAGTGAAATGATGAAATATCAGGATAACGAGTAGTAGYGACAAAAAGAGTAGGATTACAGAATTCATTGCTTTTCTAGTACTGTGCTGAACTCTGCATAAGTCGGTGCAGCAAGAACCCTYTACCAAGATACATCAAGCATAATCACAGTTTTTTATGATGTCCTTCTATCCTCCCAGCTTTGCAGTTAGGGCTGCAGCTGCAGAGAAAGACCTTACAAAAATAGTTACTGAAGGTACTAAAGGTTATTAACAAATGAGCACCAGATTCTAAGTGCTTTCTACTGATGTTTCCTGTAATTGCAGGATGCATTCCATTTTTTTTGAACCACTGTCATACTTGCTAATGGTGTGAGYTTGAACCTCTGAGACCAATTTGGAAAGTGATCACATTGCAGTGTTTAATTCTGTTTTATGCTTGTTTGAACAAAGCTACCAAAAAGCAGACACCAGACAAGAGAGGTGCAGACAAGTTATGCAAGGCTTCATAGGTAACTCAGCAGGTCCAGCCAGGTAGCTCCCTGCAAACTGGCTGTTGTTTCCTGGCTGATGGTACTCCCCTTTCCAAAACCYCTTCTCTCAGCATGGGCCAGGCTGGTTCTTCCACATTTCAGTTAATCCAGTCTTCACTTCTGGAATCTCACCTGGATTAGCAATCAACACTTGCCCTTGCTCTAAAATGGCAGATCCCAGGACAGCACAGAGCAAGTAACGCTGCTGTGTGGTCTGCTACAGGAGGATACAGTTATTACCAGGATATTTTCAAAGTGATAAAGTGTGTGACACTTGCTTCATACCATCAGTCAGTTATAAAATGTTTTCCTCATCAGAACTCACATAATGGTGGTCATCTACTTTTCTGTGCATCTGCCTCATGTTTCAAGGAAAACTCTGACCCAAAAGGATATGGTAGAGTGCCCATCATCAAAGGTTTTCAAAATGCGATTGGACAGATCGATTACTGCTAGATAATCTCACAAAGATCCTGTTCCCACAAGAAGGTTGGACCAGATGATCTCTCAAACATCCGTTCCAACCTGGGCTKTTCTGTGATTCTATGATTTAGTTAGCAGTTGTAGTGGCAAGATATTAAAATTGACTTTGCGGGATGAATGTCGCAAAGCTACTGAATATTCCCGGTGGAATTTCTTCATTTGGAACCAAGTTTTRCAGACTTGGGAGTACCCAAATACAAGCTGCCATTTGCTCAGCAGTTTTGCTTCCAGATTTCTGTATTCATCCTCATTTGGTATTGGCATTAATATTTACTGAGGGTGACTACAGGCTTGGGAGCACTGCAGGGATCCACATAGCCTGAGTGAATTAATGTACCTTCTCTTGAYTTGTGCTTTACAACAACCCCGTAATTGTATCCCAGAGCTGCACCCTATCCCGCAACAGAAGTAGTATTTAAATTGAAAATTATTATCCAGTTATGGCAATAGCCAGAAGCAGAGATGGTAACATACCTACAAAGCTTTAAGGGAATAAATTTCTTGTATGACAGGTTAACTCCTGCTTGAAGAAAAGCAACTTAATGGCAATTTAAAATGCGAGATAACGAAATGCAAAGAAAAGGCTGAGTGGGGACAAGCACTGCTGGGAAATGCAGGGGAAAAGAATCCTACTTACAAATCTGAGATGCCCAGTCTTAACAGAGGGTAACGTGAATAGTGCCTAAGTTGGTTCTGTAAAATACCAACAGTATTTCATGATGTTTCACACTTTATTGTCAGAAAAAGTCAAGYCTGCTGAATATCAATTGAATATCAAGTCTGCTGATATCTACCAATCAAACCAAGCACAAGGACCTGTAATTCACAATTGTAACCACTTCAATTAAAAAGTTTTCGGTGTATCACCTTGGCACTGTGGAAATATTGATGCCACTTCATTGTGAATGGTAAATCAGTGACAGACGTGTATACTAAGGGTACCRATTGTTCTGAAGTTAAAGAATAATTCAAGWGTTTAAAGAATAGAACTGAATTGGTTAACTGTAGTAACCTATTTCACAATTTCAAATCTACCAACTTCCTGATTTTCTCTTAACTCTTTTTATCCCTTTCCTRTTTTGCTTCCTGAATTTTCTGTCTCTCCAAGAAGCACTTGGACAGGAGGTATCTCTGTCTGCCGCCTTCTCAGCCCAGGAACTGATACAGGCAGTTTGTCACATTCTGCAACTTCTTCCCTGTATCCCCCACTTCCCCCTCCACCTTCTCCCAAAGCTTGTCAGTTTACAGCTACTAAGTAGTTAAATGCAACAATATTTGCATAAGCTATACTCMATTTACCTAGAGTTAGCACTGTCCTTTTTGGAGTTCAAGAGTGCTCAGAGCTTTCCATACACTGGAAACTTACGAGTGGAAATTTCAAAAGCAACCCGAGTGTCATCACTAAGACATGACAAATAAAAAATCCAAAATAATGGCCTTTGAAGATGCTAACTACAGGAGTACAGTCACATCACATTCATTCATATGATCACAGATCAAAGCATTTCATGCTGCTATGAATATGAAATCAGATATCTTCTCAATGTGGTAAGCTGGTTTTCACATGAACCAATGTTAAATAGTGAAAAAGCTGACTGTGTCCACTTCAGTGGTTGAAAGTATACTTCACTTCAGGAAACAGAACAAAATAAAAATAAGGCATTTATTTGAAAAAAAATTATCATGCTCAATTCTAGAAACCACAACAGTTTCCACAAAATCTTAAAAGACAACTAATACAGTGTTTATTTAGAAGCAGCATAAATCCAAACAGTGCATAAAATTTCCAAGCATTTATTGCAACAGTTTAAGTGCATTACTTTATAATTTTGTGCCCTTCCACAGGAACAGACATGGAGCAGCTACACAATTTATTCTTTTCAGAAAGCTTTTACTACTTTGAAACCTTACCTTTATAATTGGGTAACACAATGAACTAGTTCCTGTGATGAATTCCAGATTTAGGTAGACTAGATTTCAAGACTAAAATCAGTATGGAAGATGTTTAAATCTTTTAATATTCCCATAAAAGGCAACATAATAAACAATTCAAGTGAATTAAGACAGGCAATATATACAAGACATTTGTAAAAAMCACAGATATTCAATACAAAATATTCAGCTATCTCTAACAATTAAAGAAAAAACTTTTTTATAAGTTAAAAGTATGGGCCCATGCTTCTGAATGTCAACAGTGAGAGGTTATAATGACGTTAATCTCTAAAGTTTAAATATAATCTGTGCTGGCTAAATTACTTCCACGGCTTTTATAAATGAATGATGGAAGACAGAATTACCTAATATAGGAGCCTGAGAATCAAAAATTAAATTTCTATTTTTAAATGGTTTATAAGTGTGACTTCCCCCATTTGCTACAAGGATAACCTCTGTAGCTTCTTTGGCTGTGAGGCCATCATCTCTGAGTAGAAGCCCCAAATAAAACACGTAACATTTCCACTGTTGAGAAATAACCCAGGAGTATAGTTTGGTCAGAATGCCAAACCTTACGGAACAATTCTATGCTCATAGAAAAAAAGTTTCTGTTTCTAAAGAGATTAATGGGAATTCACAACTGTCGTCTTTAATTTAATATTATTTGATAAGTACCACAGTACTAACAAATCTTCACAAATATCATTAGTTTCAAAATAAAGATGTCAAAAAAGCACAGAAAAAATTATTATTCTTGATGGAACAGCTGGTGAGTTTCTACTTTAAATTTAGATTTTTGCTTCAGATGTTATGCATATGGCATCATTTTTACCAACCCTTTTCTCAGGGAAGTGGAGATAGTATCAGGATACAGACTAGGCAGCAAAGCTGAATTCTCTCTTCCCCACCTAAGTACGTCCAAAAGCCCTTCCATACTGTAGGTAATGGGAAATAGCAAAATTCACCCAGTTCCTTTTACCATTGCCTATAGAGAGCTGCAGTATACTTTGTGTTTCGTTTGGATAACAGCCACAATACTCCATCACACTGATTGATGTGGATTAGACTTCTATTTCCAGCCTCTTCCAGATGCTGGAGACTGGAGAGAACAGACACCAGCACTCCAGCTCCATAAATGGAGGATAAATGAAGCAAGTGCTTSACCTCACTTGGCAAAGTCCTACATCTGAGGAGCAGCAAGAGTGTTATTGACAAAGCACCTTCCTGAGGGATGCAGATTGCCACACGAGGTTTACAGCCTTAGAGTTGAGATGGAAAGTCCTTTGGTTCTCTGAAAGTTTCACATCCCTCTCTTAAACAGAGTTCAAATAGAACTCTTTGGAGTCTCTGAGCAAGACTGAACGTAAATGAATGACATGCAGAAAACCTTAAACCATTTCAACCCCTTGGCCAGAAAAACCATGCCATGCCTGGAAGCACCAAAGCAATGATTACAGAAGAAAAAAGATTTACTGCATTGTTGTCTAATATAGGTTTTCCAGATATGTGTTTGGAGTCTTTTGTTTGGTGGTTAACAACCATGCCAATTGTCTGGTCAAAACCTGGGAAAAGATAAAAACTTCATTTTACAAAGCCAACCAAGATGAAGARAAATTTAGCAACTAACTATATACACCTTCCTAAATTTATTTCACTATTATGGTGTTAAATCTCTGTAAGAAGACATCATCAGACTAAACTAAATAACAGTCAGTTTAATTTAAAACTTCAAAGAATGAGGAATAAGTGCATACCTCATTCATGAGGTAAAAGTTATATTTCTTTAGATTAGAAATTACTTCTTTTGAGAAGTTACACTTCTGTCAAATCTAATTCTCTCTTTATATAGTTTCACAGCAAAGAAAGGAATGAAATATGCTAAATCAGAAGAGGAAAAAGCTGTTCCAGAAGTCATTCTAAAGCAATGGGTGCTGTCTTGAACAGAAACAACTTATTAACAACATATTCTCTGTCAAAAAGATGTATTTGTTTTAAAAGGGAAATTATGGAAACATTATTACTTGACCTGACAGAAAACAAGCTCCTCCTTAAAGGCTGAATTTATAAATTCTATTTATACAGCAATTTCATACTACCAGCAGCTGGACTTTTTTTCTGTAGTACTTAGGTAATTTCTTGCTCTGCCTCTGTATTATCAATACTTTCGTATTGTGCTTCATTAGCTATTACTGTAGGCACATCATTATCCTATGTTTCGTCCAGCTGCACCATTCTATATACTGATAAAAACACACAATTTTAAAACACTTGATTTTAACTCTGTAGTAAAGTATAACTGGGTACGTGCATAAGCACACATTTAAGGTTGGAACATTCCAACCAAATAAGTATATTTTATATTAACCTTTTTTTTTTCTTCTTGGATTTGACTATCTGTCAACACTCAAACCCTGGAAATATCAAATAATGCTGCTGCTTTATTACCAAAAAAATTCTGCACCTCAGACAAAACTTAACCCCCCCACCATTATATTTCTAATATCCCTTAATTGTACATGAAGTGTAGACTCAGAGCATAAACAAGTAGGTAAAGTAAGTCCTTCTATTAGCTTTGTTATTTACAGAATAGGTACAGACTGATAACATGAGCAAATCTGAATCTTATTCTGCACAGCTATTCGAAGTTTTAGTTAATAAATGTGCAAGAAGGGCAGACTTCAGAAACAGTGGGTATCAGAGGCTACTAGATACACCAAATCTACGAATATTACCAAAGAAAAAAACACTGACAGAAGGAATTAACAGTAGCAGCATACTGTTTTCAACAAAAAAGGACATGATTCTTTATTCCCACTGCCATATCTATTGCTTTTCRAGATGCTGCAGAGATTAGAGTATTCATTCTGAGTTCACATTGAAGAGGGAATGAAAAAGTGAGTTAAAGGAGGGATGCAAAACCTGAGAGCATGCATCACATGAGCAGCACAGTTTTGCCTGTATCACATCACATATATACCACAGTATGCAAGTGTATAATATAGTATACAAACTCCAGCAGCGCTTATGAATTTGCAAAAGAACCTGTGAAACTTGCATACTGTCCCTGCTGCAGCTAAAAAAGTAAGTWGCTGAGCATGGAAAAAATATATGAAGTATAAATAGATGCTGATAAATGCAAGTGCATTAGCTAAGTTTACTCCATTTTCTTAATGCATCTGCCTCATTATGAGATTGAAACATTATCTGAATGCTTAAGTGTTTCCTGTTCAGGACAGAAATATCTAAAAATTCATCAAATGGAAATATTCCACTGTATTGTGCACTTTCATGGAATTACAAGGAATAGAGCATTAAAAAAATGCTCTATATCCAAATCCAGAGCATCAACAACAGTCTGTAGTTCTCACTGTAATTATAAAGGATTTGTCAAGCAGTGTCTCTCAAGCAGTTCATCTGCATATTCACACCTTGACTTCCAACTGGTAAGCTGAACAACAATGAAATGTAGAAACTTACGTTTCTCTGTAAACAAGCTTTTAAACTCAACAGCGTTAGATATGGTTTCAAAACAATTTTGAAACATACAATAAGTTTACAACTTAGCTTAAAGGTTGTCTGTAACATTTATTCACTAGCAATGATCATTCAGGGCAATGAGTTAACACTGAAATAATTTAGATTCAGCCAGCCACCATTTTTTTAAAGAAATAGATGCAGTCTTTTTATTTAAGTCACAGCTAGTTTGTGATAAGCTCAAGTTATGGGAAACAGTGTTCTATTAAGTGGTAAAAAAAACAGAAGGGAAACTATTGTTCACATTTTCCTGGAATTGTTCACATTTTCTTCCTTAATTCTTAAAGCTGAGACTATTGTTAAGACTTCAGAGCTAGGAATGGAGCTTCTGCAGTGACAACTTAATCCAAATACATAGATAAAGTTAAGCTGACATTTTCTCTTATAAAATGTCATTATAAGAAAATGCATACAAGGAAATTGCAGAAATTGCTTCTCCCAATGAAGCTTGTTGGATGTCTCTGGTCTCAGTCATCAACAAGGCAGTAAACTCCAATAAACAAATCAAAATGTGGAAAAAGATCAACTGCCCTTGCTCCTTTTCATGTTAATTTCCATCACTTTTGCTCCCTCTGTCCTTTATGCTGCTATTTTTGTATTTTTTCTGTTTAAAAATCAAGTCCTCAGCCTTTCTTGAAATTCAAGTACAATTTTAGGTTACATTAGGAGAGGTGGGGGAAAAAAGTAAAAAACGAAGACTCTTACCACTGTATTGCATAGTAGCTCCCAAATATGAATCAACAATTGATCCCAGTAGGCCAGCTGCTGCACCAAACACAATAATGGGCCATTGTGGAGCAGATATTTCCAGATCAGTCACAAAAATTAGTTGTGTTATGAAGTAGGCTATACCTACTGCCATGCCCCCAAGCAAACTTGAGAACAAGCCCACGAAAGTAACTGCTCCATTAGTACCTAAATCAAACAAAATRAAGCTGATTAAAAAACTGGTTTTAATGACTTGTATTAATTGAAATGTTTTACATTAAATCAAAACTGTTCATAAAGATCTTCTCCCCTTGTATTCACAAGGCTCTGCTACTGCAGCTTTCTGTAATTCCCATTATGCTGCTGAGAGCTTAACCTGTACCATTACAGCCTGTTACTACTCCTTTCCTGTCTGTAGGGTTAGTTCCCTAGAAATACTCACCAGCATTAAATTAAATAAAACTAGACAGCACACYTCTCAGTGTCACCTGGTATTTGTCTACTCTAGGTGATGATGGGCTAACAAAAGAAGAGATTTGCTCAATAACTGTGAGATGTGCACATTATTAAAGCAATGCCCTCTTTCARAAGTAGTATACCAAGAGATACTTCACCAACACATTTAAAAATAAAAGATCCAAATCCATAGACAGAAGATGTTTGACAGCTCATTGAATAAAAATCTGAAGAAAATTTATAAATAAAAAAATTCCCATGCAGTTAAATCCTGTTCAASAAGATCCGTACTTCTCATTGGAGCCAGAAAGACTGAAAAAAGGCACACTGCTTTAAGGCAGCAATGAYACCCACCATGGAGACAACATCTGACAGACAGAAAGTTCACTTTATTCATCTGTAGTAGAATATTATAGGAAACCAGTGATTTGTTAAGAAGTTAATTTTCTGTAGTGTCTGTGTTGAATATATATGTATTCTACTGATTAAAACAAGGTCTGAAAAAAATCAGTTGATAACTTGTATTCTTCATATAAGCAATATAATCACTTTTAATATTGTCAGAGTTTAGAAGTGACAGCATTCAGAATGATTTTAGCTCTGTGGATGTTATGTTCATGGATATCAACAAGATGCAGAAGAAACACAATTGAGTATATTCCATTTCAGAGAATGCACTCCTGGTAACCTTTTCTAATCCCAGATTTCTGGTATTTCTTTTTCTTAATCTTTCTTGGAACTTTTCAAGTTGGATGTGTAATTCAAAACAGATTAACAAAATATTAAGAACATGTAGAAGTGGTAACACCTTACCTACTGGAACCTGTTCCCAAGTTGTTATCAATCTTGGTTTGCTTCTACTCATAACACTGCCAATCTCTGAAGCCCATGTATCACCAGCAGAGCATGCCAAAGCTCCCAAAAGGGATAAGCACATCCATGATGCTGTGTATTCCTTTGAAAAGTCAATAGGAATTTCACCTGGTCCATTTTCTATCATGTATAAGAGAGCCAGCTCAGTAGGAACACCACCATTACAGAATACCTGAACCCAATTCCTCTGTCCACCTGAAGTATAAAAAATCAATTTTAGTAATTTCAGGCAACATCATGAGGCAAAACTAAAATACACACATATAAAGCTAAATTTTAAAAGACACATATTCTAAACAGAAACTGTATAGCAATTTATTAAACAGAACAGAAACAAAAGCGAAGTGGCTTAATATTCACAAGGACAGGGTGGAGGGGAGTCACATCAGTGCTCTCTATTCTAGATCTTACATTTCATTTGACCCTTTGAAAGGAGCAAAAATGTGCAGTATCTGAAAGAATGAAAGTATTTTGGCTTACCTTCTTTATACTCTGAATCTATTTGCTTCTTTATATCTTTTTTCCACTTAGTAAGTTTTGAAGAAGTAACAAAAAATACAAACAAAGAAGAGAAGAAACTGTAATTTGCAACTGTAAGGATAAATCCAACCACCAGTCCTATGAAGAAAAAAGAGGTATAGAAAGTTGCTTCATGTAACAGTAGTTGCTTTGCAAAGCAATTAAGTATTCCAAATTTTCTGAATATAAAGACTACCTTCCTGATAAATCTAAGACAATCATGCAATAAGAGATTCTATTGCCAAATTGCTAATTTTATTACAACTGCTGAAGCATGTGATTTTTAAGACCTTCTTCTGCCACAAATCAGTAATAATGTGCAAAAAATAAAAGAGCAATAAAACCCCTAGCATCCAAAAAATATATAAATGAAATTTAAGTACTCTGCCTGAAAAATATTATAATATATATGATATAGTAGATATATAACTGTGTCTCTGCCTCTATCAGCAAGTTTATCATCAGTTTGGGTATCAAATCCCACATCCAAGGCCTCTAAGATAACCCATAAAACCATCCTCTAAATCTTAGCAGATGCTACTTCTCTATTCTGTTCTTCCTTTTCTTTCTTAATTTCTGATTTATATTCCACCTTTTTATTTCTGTAATTTTCTTAAGTATGTAGTTCCTTAATGTGATTCATTGTATGTTTCCTTCCACAGAGGCCTAATTTCATTCCTCACCATGAGATTACAATTCTAAAGGACTGAAAGAAAAATGGCTGCATTTAAGAGCAAATGCCAGTATAAGCTGGATAGCAGAGCTGWTAAGAGGTAGGTACACAGAAGACAAAAAGAGTTTTGTCAGTTTAAAAAGTGCTCCCCTTAACTCATAGACAGAAAAAGATTCGCATAATGAGAGAAATGAAGGAAGGATTTGAAGCCCTGATTCACTCCACTGAACATCCAGTCAGACAATGTCACAAGACAAGGGTGAATTGCCTCATCCAGAAACATTACATCAAATTTCAATAAATACTATTGTACACTATACTGGGCTTTTTATCATGTGGTCAAGAAAAGCTGTGTAGAAACAGGGATTTGTTTTTAGTGAAGTACAGATTACGTTTTCTTCTTTCTGCCAGGCCAAAAAATACCTAGAACTGCTTCTATTACAGAAAGGAGAACCATGTTCTCCTAACTTATTTCCTACCAGGCAGGAAAGCTGCTGACATGATCATTTTAGGGTATTTCTTTACCACTACTTCTGCCATTTCTTGGTATCTCTGTAAATCCCTCTATATGTTAAACCAAACTATGAGATTTAACTGTAGACTGAACTGATATTTGAAAGAATCTTCTAGGTTTATACAAATAGAGTAATATTAATAATTTACAAACAGCAGCACAGGATTAACTTGACTGTTTAAATGGACATGAGAAGAACCAGTATGAATTCAGGGTATGTATGCCTACATTTATACTTTATAATAAAGATCTAGGTAGTCTTAATTTACAAACAATAAAAAGGAGCTTAATTTAGCTTACTAAATTTTTATCTTAAGTATCAGAGAAAACATACCTCCTAATGCACCACTGTGATCAAGACTCTTCTTTTTGAAACCCTGTGTAGCAATAATTAGTGGAACCAATACTGAAAAAAGCCAGCGCCATGGAGAAATGGGTCGTAAATTACCTGATAAATCAAAAAACATGATTACGAATGATCCTCATAAAGCTTTTTCAATGTCTTCATGTCTGAAAAGTCATTATTTCCTAGCATATACTTGAATTTTGATCTCAATAGAGATTAAAACATTTTACCCTTCAGAAAAGAGATATCCTTATGAATAGAACACCAAAATATCTGCAATTATCCACTCCATTCCTCTATTCAGCTCTCAAAGGAAAGAGAAAATGTATTTAATGAACAAAAATAGTAAAATGGGCCAAGAAATAAATATGGTGATATTTTCCATTCTAAACAGGATTTATGAACTTCAAAAACTAACATTTGAAATGCTAAGACCATCTGAAACCTGATTTGTATAGAACAGGTAAGTTCAGATTTTACAAAGAAACTCCAAACACACAGTTATAATAAAGTATGTAGAGTTCAGCTTCAGTTGTGTTATGTAAAATTCCAGTTAACAAAACATTAACATTGCTCTCRTGTAAAGAGACTGCAAAGCAACTTCAAGTAACTAAATTAGTGAAAGAGTTTTGCTCATTGTTGTGGGTTTAAATTCCTCTCTTTTTGTTCACTTTGGAATTTTTTTTTCTTYCCCCATTTGTTGCTGGGATACCTTGATGGCCGAGCTGTTTTGTTAATGGCCGGGCGATTGAAGAGACAATGACACCTATGGGCACACCCTWAATGGGGAGACAGCTTTTGTGTGGTGGGGTGGGGATTGGSGAGTGGGTTTTGGTTTTTTTTTCTCGCAGTTTGGGAGAGAGAGGGGKKTTTTTTTCCTGCTGGCGCCCCGTGCTTTTGCTCGGCGGTGGYTTGCTAGGACTCCAGCTTCAGGAGGGTGAACTCTGCTCCATTCCCGTCTCGCGTCCGCGGGATTCCTGCTCGTCTCTTTTGCTGTCCTGGATTTCTTCCTGTCCAGAAGAGCACCGGCGTTTTTCCGCTGTGAGTTTTGCAGAGAAAACTTTTCTTCATCCACCTCTGCCATCTTGTATGATTWTCCCAGCCGCGGGAGATCTGAGCCAGCCGGGATYYGCACCACCACGTCCCCTGCATCTCTGAGGAGCCATCGTGCCCTCCCTGCTCAGCCGGGGGCCAGCGGCGCCGCTGCCAACCAAACTGTAATCTTGCCAAGAAGGAGACTGTTTCCATAAGGCTGTCACTAGGTTTGGACTGCGCTGTTGTTGCATTGTTATTGCTACTTGTTTCATCTTGTTTTATATATATATATTAGTAAAGACTGTTACTCCTTTTTTACCCATATTCCTGCCTGAAAGCCCGTGATTTTTTTCAAAGCTGTAATAATTCGGAGGGAAGGGGGTCATAGCCACCACTCCAAGGGGGGTCCCTGCCTTCATTAGCAAATACCTGTCTTTCAAACGGTGACACTCATATATCAAGTATTAATTTGCTGCTAACTGTAGGAACAGGTGATGGTGATGATGATTATTACTAATGGTGATGAAGTTTCAGAAAATGTCAACAATAAAGGAACTAACAACACTGTCTGTGGTCACTAATAGACAATGTTTTTTAACATTATAAGAGAAGGAAAATTAGTACAATTATATTGGAAACTTTAACTTGTTTTTCAAACCATGACAAATAGCAGTGTTTTCAGGAAAAGTCATTCTTATTCACAAAAAGCTTTAGCTTGGTAGCTGTTGCCCATGAGACAAAACAAATGTCTTCAGCTCTTTTTTTTATCATCCATTCCCATTTATTTCTAGGATGTCCCTAATACTATCACTTTCTTGTCCATGCCATCAAAGACAATGTCACAGTATGTTAAGGACTGCTGCTACGTGGATGACAGAAGGTTCCAGAAGTAGCTTCAAGTCTATGAGGAGAGAGCATGTCTGCATGCAGACAAAATACCTAATGGCTGTGTTTCCGTAACTTTAATGTCACTTACACTTTTTATTCTAGTTTGGAAAACTTAGCTATTCTGTCATATATTTAAGTACCTAGTTGAGATACAATGATACTCTTCATTTTGTTTACTGGTAAATGTAATTTCATTGAACTAATCTTCCCGAGCTATTGTCATTCAAATGCCTGACTGTGGATTATTGGTATTCTTACAGAGGCAGTGTTTGCAATGCAATGCATGGTTTAAATCTATTAAATTCTTACTTTCATATGAAAGCAATTCCACTAATCAAATCTTCTGTATTTGAGAAGTATATTTCTCTTTGGRAACTAAAGAGAAATAAATTATTTCAGGTCTAGTATTCAAATCCATGCACAAATGGCCCACCTACTATCCTCCTCATTATACAGAAAATAAAGCCAACTTATAATCAAACCCAAAACTTGTTTCACAATGACTACTTTTAATGGTATTCTTCATTAACCATTTTTAAATTTGAATGCTTAAACCACCAAAACAGACTAGTTGAACAACTTTCAAACAGAATGTTTACTTTCACAAACTAAAGTAGCTCAATTAAAAAAACAAGTTATTTTCTTATCTTAATATCTACAGTGCCTTCTAATAAGCTTTTCCAAGTCACTACAATCTGAATTTGAACAAGATGAAGAACAGGAAAATAATACCTTACTCAGCAGTTATAACTCCACACTATTCCATAAAGAACTAGTCATGTATGTCCTAAACATATTTGTTTCCTTCTAAAATTCCAGAACACTCACTAAATAAAAGAAGAGTAAAGGAGCTGTTACTGTCCAGTTAAAAATATGTTATTTTAATCATAAAACCGATTTAGGAATTTACTGCTTCAGCAGTAAGAGTCTCAGAAATTCTATATTCTATCACCTCATTTTGACTTTAAATTGGAATACACAAATTTCATTGCAAAAGATGCCAAAAATACATTGTGCAGAACACTGAAATTTAAATGTCTGAAATTGTTCCTTAATACTACAATTTAAGTCTTCCATATTTGTCATCTCAGACACAAGAAAGCAAATAATTATATCCTGAACTACACAACTTACTGTGACAGAATTYCACTGCCAAAAAAAGTCAAGCAAGACAATCCACTGGATGAAAGTAGTGTGACCACTTTACGAAACATCAGCCATGGCTCATCAGCCACTTCTTCTGACCTTGATGTAAGGCTCTTTAAAACATACTTTGAGCTGATGACTATCTTGGCAAGATTTCAAGTGACAGCTTTTGTCTGAAAATCCACAAGCTAAAGCCAATAGTTAACATAGGTTTTGAAATAAAAGAAAAAAAAATTAAAACCTTGAGAAGTTATTTATTACATCTGCTATACAAATCATCACATGCTACACAAGACATCACAAATCTTGCATTAAACTAAGTCTCAATCTTGTGAAAGAATGGTTTCATAGAGGCACAGAGGCTTGTCTTGCTGGAAAGACAAACATAATGGTTTTCCACAACAACTTTTATATCAGCAGTACCCCAACCTTTGCRCAAACACGGGCTCCCTGCTGCAAAGCAGGACAAAATGTCTATGAAATCACAATAAAACACTTACTACAATGCAAAGATTCACAKGACAAAAACTTCCCTTCAGTGTACTGAAAAGCTCCACAGCTATAGTAGGTGAGCAAGGGAGTCTTGCAGCGCATGGCTGAGTCAGAAATTCAGAAGGCAAGCACGGGCTGTGTATAAAAGGCCCTCCAGTGCTGTAGCCTGGTATTGCTTATCACAAAGGCAGCTATTGGTGTTGAGTTTGAGCAGCACTGGAACACAAAAAGTTCCTTTTCCTTGGCTAACAAATAGAATTTTCATCTCTTTAAGGTCATTTTAAACKAACCTTTTTGGATTTCCTTGTAGAGGAGAAAAGTATATGTATTAAATTATTACTAAATGTAAGAAATTAAGAGTATGATAGAATCTATAACAAAACAATGAATGTGTTCTTTGACACTCTGGAAGGGTGGCTTAACTAATTTCTGGCCCACTGTTGGACACTTAAGCATTACTATAAACTGTAAATTAATAAAAGCATATTTGATGTATTCTTATATTTAAGTTAAGGACTGTGAATTTCACCACTTTTATGGGTCGAATTGTTAAGCCCGTTAACTACTATATGCTTCATTCCTCAAGACCGCCTTGAAAAGCCAAGGTCTTTCCACAGTCTCAGGCAAATGAACAGAAGTTTTATGTTCTTGTTCCATAAGCATGGAAATCCTCCAAAAAGGAGGATTTGTCTATAGTCTCCTTTCCATCAGTCCCTACCCTGATTCACCTGATACCAGATCTCCATGCTATGCTGTAAATTCCTGCTCACATTAGATAGCAGGGACTAGAATACCCTAATTGCCAGAAAAGCTGTACCTTTAGAGAACAGACATACATGAATGAAGTTGCATGTTTAACTCCAACTTGGGTGGCTATAAATGACACAAATAAAGCCTGGTTGTGAAGCCTGCTTCTGCCTATCTTCTACATGCCTGGAATCYCATTGCAAGCCAAAGTAAAAGTGTCCAGCCAACACAGATTTAATGCTGTGTAATGTATCAGAATTAATACCCCATCCAAAAACCTGAAGCACTCAAAAACAAGGGGCAGAGACACACAACTGTCTCTACAAAAGTCAGCTTATACTGGTGGGATATTTATTATAGCTCCTTCTGGATCCAGAGTGGCATTGGGCACTTGAAGATGTTCATACTGCATCCCAAGGCACTCTCAGCAACACTGCAATGACCCCAGAGTTCTTCCCGCATCAGACTGGCTGGGGTTTCAAGGACAAATCTTTACCTGTCTTAGAGAAGCAGTTAAATTCTTCTAAGCTTAAACTGATACCACAGGCAGTACTGCTACATTCGCACACTGCTGCAAAAAAGGTTCTAGAGCCAAAATGCCAGACCACAGGGAGGGAGAGAGGGACTGACCACAATGGCAGGGAGGACTTGTGTCCCTGCAGCTACTCRCAACTAAGTCACAGCCAGCCTGAGACATCTGAGCAGAATGCAGAGCTGACTACACACCTATGCCAGCCGCTGCAGGCATACATSTCTATCTTCTTAAATCATTTACCGTCTCTCTGTTCCTCGACTAAGGAATTCTCTCTTGCACGCCTTGTTCTGCATGTTGCAGATGTTGATTCCTAAAACAGCTTTTAAGCCTGGCACATTCCTCACATGCTGTCACGTACTTTCCCTGATATACAAAGGCCTCTGTCAGTTCAATCAGTTCAATTTTTCTTTACTTGCTTTCTTTCAGGGAAAGAAATCGCAAAGGATATCAGCATTTAAAATTCTACGCTATCCCCGGGCGGAGCTGGAAGGAAGCGGCTGTCAGTACCCTCTAAACCACTATCGCTTAGTGAGGTGTGAGGTTACCGGCTCTACTGACTAAGGAAGGGGCTGTGCATACCCCTCTTCCCATTTTTCGCCGCCTGCCGGGAGGGGCCGGAGGGGAACGTTCGCCCCTGGCCGTGCCATGCCAGCCTCTCCCCGGCCTTTGGACTCACCGTAGTAAGTACTTGCAGTCATGGACACGATCCAGAACGCCAGTGAAATACAAATGAGCAAGTTCAGGATGACCATATTCGCCATCATCTTGAGGTATTCTCGGAAGAAATCCTCCTGGTAATAGGACATGGGAAACCAGAAGGAGAACACCTGCTGGGAAAACACAAGGCGCAGGGCATCAGCGACACCACCGCCACCACCTCCCTCTCTTCCTCCTCCTCCAGCCTGGCCGGAGCCGCGGSCGGGCCTGGCCCGCACCGCCCCCGGGGCGCTGCCCGAGGAAGGCACCGAGGCGCTCATGGAGAGGCTGCTGCGGCCACCCCAGCCCGGGCTGCGCGGCGCTGGGTGGCCGGAGGCGCTCGCACCGCCCGGCCCGTCACCGACCTGCTCCCCCGGGCCGCCGGCGCCGCCACCATCCCGCCCCGCGGCCTCCCTGCGCATGCTCCGCCGGCCGCCGCGCGGGCCCGCCGGTGTGCTGCGCTGCGCTGCGCTGCGCCTGCCCGCCGCCAGGGGGCGCTGCGCCGGAGCCGCTCACCGGGGCGCGCTCATGGATCGCTGTGGGGCTGGGATGGGGCAGCGTCCCTCCGGCAGTGTGCCAGCGTAGAGCCAGTTTGTGAAATAAAACCAGGAGCGACACGCCTGAGAAAGGCATGACGGCTGTGGATAATTAGTGATACAAATGATGGATGAGGTTTGAAACTTGTTGGAGCACTTCGAAGTTTATTAACAGCAGAAGAARAAGACTTGAAATGTTTCGTAAAGCTGACTTGGGATGAAAACATGGCAAACCTGCCTGGTGGCTTTTCTTGGGCATGTAACAATTACTCCCAAAATACTCGAGTTGTAAATAACCTAACATTAGCTATGGGATGGACTTCACAGGAGATAATGATGAAGTAGCATTTATGTATTCAGCATTTGTTCAGTGGAAGGTAGACCAAAACCTTCAAGTTCACAAATACTGTACAGATGAGTCACCTCATGAACATCTATAACCTCAGGTGTTTTTTTTTCTCACGGACTTGTAGCAGCAGCAGCAAAAAAGAATATTTATTTAAGTATTCAGTGAGAGGCAGAGTAATGCGAAAAAAAAACAGTTAAAAAATGTAGAAGATCTTTGATATACAACAAGTAGTTTTAAAGCTAGACAATTAAAGTGAACAATCCTAATTTAAGGGATGGTAATTTCCTTACTGAATTTAAGACTATTTCTGGCTTGTGGCATCCATTTATTTTTGAGGTATGTTCTATTATTTTTCATTCAGCATGTGGAGTAGGTTTCTATTGGGGTGTGAACATAGTCCATGTTGTGAATTCTTTCAGAATTTCTTAGCAGAAGAAGGCAGACTTGTTCCAGAGGTTAAAGTTAACACTTGGGTGTTTACTTCGTATTTTCTGCAGGCAACTAAAGCCAAAATTTGGAACAGGTGCCTTAGACAAAGATTTATCTTATTTTCTGCTATATTTATTGGTAACAGACTGGTAACGCCCAAAACTTATCTCAACTGAGAGATACCTAAAACAATAATACTAATGTAGAAATACTGACTTTGGTATGTCTAGTCTTCCTTCTTACCTCCCAAATTTTCATTAAACCTCCATCTGAGTTCTGAATTGGAGATTTAACAATCAGGGGCTCAGTAGCTGGGCTGCTTTGCAAGAACAGGACACCTTTCAAGAATAATGGTGATGTGACACTGCTTATGTGCTTCTGCCAAAATCTAAGGAGCTGAGATTTTCAGCCAGAACAAGATCAACYGTACTTAAACTGGCAGCTGAACAAGCAGCTGCTTGTTCTGGTATGATCAACTCCCATACAYGTACTTATTCAAATACATCCTTAACTGTAATAAAATGTGATATTTAATTTATTGCTTACTTTTTGTTTTCTAAACTGTAAAAGACAGATATGGGATTTTCTGGTAGAGGAACAAATGTTCCTGCAGAAGTCATACAGCCCTGGCTGTTCCGTGGTTCTGTAAAACTGTGGGACTGTGATTAATGATAACACCAAGCTGGCATGAAGAGGAAGCAGGTTTGTGGAGCTATAAAGGATCCTTCAGCATTTTTCATAGATCCCATGCCATGTGAAGTAGCACTTGGTGCTGATTTAGGGACATACCAGACTATTGGACTGGTTTATCTAGAGACCTTGTGTTTGGCTTAAAGCCAAAGGTGCAGATACTGGTGGGGTTTACCTGAGCAAGAAAAGCAAAACATAGAAMAGCTCTCCACCCCTGGTGTGAGAAAGGTGGTTCTGGTCAGGAAATGTCTAACAACCAGAGCATGAATAATGTTGGCTTTGACTCCTTTTTCAGTTGAGACTTTTATTAAATGTGGCTTCATACATTCCTCTTCCAGAATTGCTGATTGCCAACAAATTTTCCTGTGTACTTACAAGATTAGGAAACAAGAAAGAAATGAAGACAAAATTAGACTTCTTTCTACATTTAGAAGCTGGAAGAAGTAGCTATAGTTTTGAAAGTAATGTCTTCAACAGTTACTATAATTGGCCCACATATTGTGTTTAAAGTCCTGTTTTCTAGATCTTGCTCTTGTTTTTTACTAGGTTCTGTAACAACAATAAAAATAACAACAACACTTTTAATGGGTAAAAGCTGGGGTTTAAAAAAATTTAAATTATCATCTGTATGCTCACAATTTTGTGAATTCAGAATTAATGTATTTAAAAAGCCATCAGTCAAAATCAGTCAAAAGAGTATTATGTATATTTAATACATGCAATACATAATTTTTAGAATCAATTTTTACTTATAAACCCCCATTCCTTATTCACATCTAATAATAGCGATAAGCTTGAGAATTTAAAAAATAGCAAGTAACAGTTTTTTAAGACAAATAGACCTGAAAGCTTTTCCCCACATTTTCCCATCCAAATTCATATTTGGAATAAGAAAAATCTGAGAAGCTTAAATTAAAAAAAAAAAAAAAAGTAGAATTATAAGCTGTCCAATATTTAGAAGAAGAGTTTCTTTTTACCTTTTAACCTAAATGTATAGGATGCAAAGCACGGCCAGTTCAGAGTCTAGAAGAAAAAATAATACGATTTAATAAGAGGCAGGAATGTGAGATGATTAAAAATAGCATGACAAAAGGAAGATAATAGAATGTTACTGTACATAGCATGTTAATAAATCTTTTACATTCATTCTTTTCCTAGGAATTTAGTAGATTTGCCATAATACTGCATAACATTTCAAAATTTTCATGAAGATTTTAGAAGTAGACTTCCTGGTTTTTTTGGTATATCTGAGATAGTACTTTCAATTTCTCTTCAGTGCTTAAAACATTATTCATATTTGTGCTTTATAGAATACATTATRAATAATATAGCTTGAAGGTTAAACATTAATTTAAACATATTTTATTCTCCATTGTTAATCTAGTCTTCTCAATAACCAAAAACTGATTGAAGACAAAATATTGTTCAATACATGAAATTAAACATCTGTAAACATTGTTAACATTGTGTTAAAAGTGTAGCTGTTCACAAGGGCCTTGAGTAAYAGTCATACTCTTCGAAAAGACAACATAAGACTGTAAAATTTTATGCTAATAGTGTCTTTAGATAGTTACAGAAAACCAAAGGGAAAAAGTTGTACTGCAGGAAGGGAAAAGTAATATTGCAGATAAATATTCATCTTAAGTAGAGCATTCATTATTAGTAGTTGCCTGTGAAAATACCAACCAAATTGCAAACAGTAATTTTCATACCAAAGGAGTTGCTACACAGATGAATCCCTAACATTTTTGAGGCAGTTAAAAATTTCAGTGCTTAACACTGTAGCAAAACTCTTTATACCAGGATTTGGGTGGTGCATTATAAAGGAAATGGCTCACCAAAAAGAGAACCTAGAAGGAAGCTTTAAGTATTAAATTTATTAAATATGTGTGGGTAGGCTTTAGCTTTATGTTAAATGAGTTCACCCAAGGACAATAACACTAATTATTTTTTTTCATAGTAGCCTAATTGTCCCTTTTCTAGTCATTTATTACAAAAATGTAATACTTATCTTTTTACTATGTGTTTATATTGTGTTTTTCTAATTTATCAAGTACTTCARGAAAGAGCCAACATATGGAAAGTAGCACATGTTCAGGCTTCTGATACCTCTAGTATATTTTCATTTTACACAGGAGGAAAGTTAAAGGATTAAACTAGAATGTAAAAGGTAATGAAAAATAAAGGATTCAGCAATGGGTAGTTCAGTATTGGGGAAGAGTAAGTAAGGCAGGTAAAGATCTAAAAGGGCTATGCACAAGGAATGACCATCATCAGTCATAGACTTGCCAAGATGGTAAAGAGGCTTTAAACTAAAGCTGTGAGGGGAAGGGAATCTCCTTCCRTCCCAGTCCCACTGGTTGGATGCCAGTGCCCCCGCAACAGATGCCCAGAACCCGGAGAGGGATCACAGTGATGGCTAAAGATTTTTAACTTTTTTTATATATTTGTAGCTTTGTAGATTTTTAAYATATAGCTGTATAGTTTCTAGCAGTTTCTTACACTTCAGAACAGTAGTTACCCTTTCTCATACATTGTCACGTTCTTACAGTGCTGTTYGGTCTTATTTTCAAAGAAAAGAATTTCTAGCAATGACATCTGGTTTTGCACCAGCACCTGGGAGACATAACAAGGTATAGAGCTGAGAAACCCTTGGAGGGATTCCAGTGGGGCAGGTCCAAGGGTGGGCTACCAGGGCAACCTGGTATATATATATATACTTACTAGATAAACTAATTAGTTAAACCTATAAAAATTGTGAAAATTTGATGCTGCATGTGTGCATAGGGATAATCTGTGCATCTGAAAGCTTTCATTAAAAGACTGCACTTTATGTTATCAATTATGCACTTTATGTTATCAATTCTAATATTGTTTGGAAAGCTTTTCTTCTGATTTTAGGCAACAATAGGTTAGAGGGAGAGCAGCTGAAGATCAGCACAAAGGAATTCCAGCCACTCCAGTGAGTTGGCTTCATTGGGGGGGGTATCCAACTTAAATGGCTCTCTGCAAATGCACACAGCATGGGGAATAAACAACAGGAGTTAGAGATGTGCACTTGCCTGCTGGGCTACAATCTTACTGCAGTCATGGAGACACGGTGAGTGGGGTGTTGGAATGAAAGGATGCAGACTCTCAGACATATCAGAAGGATGCATCTCTTCAGAGACAGGAGTGACCTCATATTCTCAAGACCTCACCTTCATGACGGACTCCAACCATAACAATATCTATTGGAAGGACAACAGGCCATAAGCAACACAGCAGGCCATAAGCAACACAGGAGGCTCCTGAAGTGTGTGAAGTATGATGATAACCTCTTTCTCCAAGTGACACTGAAGCCAACAAGGAGAGGTGCTTTGCTGGGCCTTGTTCTCACCAACAAGGAGGGGCTGGTGGGACACGTGAAGCTCAAGGGCAGCTTTGGCTGTCAGTGACCATGGAATGGTGGCTTTCAAGATACTTAGGGCAGTGAGGAAMGTGCACAACAAGCTCACTGCCCTGGACGTCAGGAGAGGAGACAGGGCACAGAGGGTACCACTGACTGGCATCAAAGCTGCATCTTTGTTTTATGATGTAGAGCATAGTCTATGCCGAAAGAATAATAGCTATTAGCAAGGAACAGGATTGGCTGGCTTTTAGATTGAGATAACTTAAAAGATTCAGAATCATTGTTACATACATTTTTATCCTATGAAAACTCAGGTCCTCCACATCTGCCACAGCAAACAGATGTAATCATACCTAATGATTCAAATCAGCAGTTTAACTTGTTTAGGCAGACTGAGAAGCAGTGATGGAACTATGTACATATATCTTTTTCCCACAAAGGTCATAGCTAGATTTTAAAGTCTAGAGTGGTTTAAATCCAACAGGCAACTAAAAATCATGCAGTTGCTCACTTACCTCCTCCCTATGCTGGTGGAATGGGGGGGAGAATCAAAAGCAAAACTTGTAGGTGGAGAAGAGAACAGTTTAATAATTGAAGTAAAATTATAATAGTAAGTARTAATAATGGATAATAAATAAATAATAAATAATAATAAACAATAAAAAGGAAAATCAAGTGATGTACAAAACAATTGCTCACCATCTGCTGACTGATGCCAGATGCCATCTCTGAACCCCAATTAGCCCCTCTTCCAGGTACTTCTCTGTGTTCATACACAGGGCATGACAGTCTATAGTGTGGAATATCCCTTTTSCCAGTTCAGGTAACCTGTCCCAGCTATTCTCCCTCTCAGTTGTTTTGTTTCTTTTTTTTTGTTTGTTTTTTGGTATGTACCTCCTCACTGATAGAGCATGAGACCAAGAAAGTCCTTGGATAAACACAACTTAGCAACAACCAAAATACCAGGGTGTTACCAACATTATTCTCATACTGAATCCAAAACACAGCAATGTACCAGCTACCAACAAGAAACTAACTCTATCCCACCCTAAACCAGGACAGATCATCAGCAAAAGAACTATGTTACATTTACTTTTCAGGATGTTCAATAGACAATTCTGGTAAATACTGCTGAAAATTTAAGATGACTAACTTTCMTTGTGCTTAAAATAATTTGTAAGAGAGGAGGGAGAGAAGGGGGGCCAACCAAAGCTAAATCTAGATATGGAATAAAGTCTTAATAAAAACAAATTGCCTCCAGGTTATTACTGACCAAGCCTGGATTCTTACAGGCTTGCCAACCTTCCCCCCGCCCCATCCCGGGCACGCAGAAGACCRATGTTTACCAGTCTTTACTTGTCAGAACTAAGCAGAACAAGGATGGAAATTTGATTTACTATTTTTAACTGACTATTCCAACCAGCAGACTAATGGCTTTTCTAGGGGATGTCCATATTACAAGATGTACACATTACATGGCAAAGGGTGATAGTGTTTCTGCTGTCGGGTCTCCAGTCATCAAGATATGACTTTGTATCTTCCTCACTGCCTTTTGCCAACATTGCTTTTGGTTGCTCCAAACTACAGGGACTCCAGTTCTCTGCCTTTTTCATGCAAAGAGGGTGGRATGCTTTCGTAACCAGTCTTCATGGATTCTGGCATGAACCCTTAGTGGCTGTACCATGCAAGTCAGGGAAGATGTGGTGATATCRCATGAAGATTGACCCAAAAACTCAAGGCAGATGATAGCAACACTATCTTATGCATGAATGAAACCACAGGATGAATACCGAGGGACTCCTGGTAGTTCTGATAGGAGAAATACAGGTACCATCACTTCATCCGCTATCAAGTGTAGTCCTCATTTATGTTTGTTTCAGTTGATTAAGACTGGAAGCATAATAGAGGTTACGGCATATGTGATTAATTCAGTTCTGACTAGGGAAGTATAGAAAAGTAGCTGTCAGGCCTCTTTTCTGCAGTTATATTTCTTAGTTTAAATTCATAATCCATTATATAAAATGTCCTAAAGCATGTAAAATGCCTCTTAAATTACCTTCAACCTTATTTCACTTTTTTATGTTACTGAAAACATGGAATAGTTGAAAGTGAAGTATCAAAATTACTCTGAATTTTAAACCGAATAAAAGCACTATTAGCGTTGCATTATGGCTGGGTGTTATATACAGATTAGAGGCAGGAGCAYCAGCTATGAAGACATAGCTTAAATACTGAGCATATTGTGTCTCTCTGAATTAGCAACAAGTGCTTTGCATTTCTATACCAGTTAATTATAAGAAGTTAAAAAAAAAAACCCACAAATGGGCAAAGTTTAAGGAAGGGAAGTAATATTGGTAAACCCCTGTTCCACATCACATGAAAAACTTAACAGCAACATAAAACTGGATGATCTGCCGTTTTTGTTTTACAGAGAGTGAAACATCATATCAAACATTTTATTAAACATTTTCTGCTTAACTTTGGAACACTTTATAGCCACCTCTTTTGTAAACATTGCCTTGAGTCCTAAGTAGAGTCTCTGGATCCTATAAAATAAAAATTATAAAATCATTCTTCASTGGTTACCTGTTAAAGTACCAAAGAAGTTGTAAAGCAAGTTCATGAGGGGAATATCCAGAGAAATATCCAGCTGTGGAATGAATGCAAATTCAAATACACAGCACAATGGAATCTTCCACATTTCATACAATCTAGAAAACTTGCACTGATTTGGTCTCATGATACAGAAGACCCTACACTTCAGCAGCATTAAAACYACTAAGGACAGCAGTGGTGTCTAGTGTTTTTGAAGGGAATTATTTTTCTTACAGTGCAGCATTATTATGTTTATAATCAAAACTAAAACTCATAATTCTTAGATTTACTGTAGATTGTAAATTTGTATTTGGAAGGTTGTATCTGAAAAACTAGATGTTGTATATGTGGGCAGATGCTTAGTTTTCTGTTAACCCAGACAAATATTATTTCCTTGGAGAGATAAATATTACAAGACAATGTACTTGACAAATGCACTACAGATTTAGCTGCATTTTGCAGGTAGACAAAAGTAGCAAACACTCTGTGACCAAGAAACTGGATTTTGGGAAATAAACTTTTTAATAAAGAACAAATTTTCTATATTTGAATACTTACTAAATCAATACATTTACTCATGCAAATACAATACTTTGATTTTGGCGCTACAGAATTTTGTTCCTGATTCTCCTAAGGCAAATACTCACAGATCCAAATTCAAACACTGCTAAGGAACTGAAGACTTTTTCAGTTTAGAAACTGGATAATTAAGTATGAAATGTGAAAACATCTTGGAAATCTAAAACTAGAGTAAAGATGGAAAGTTTTACCTAAAAGAGGTGGCTATAAAKTGTTCCAAAGTTAAGCAGAAAAATCCCTTACCTTTTTCTCTTCAGTCCTGATTCAGCAAAACTGGTGCAGAAAAAGTAAAAAGTAAGATGAATGTAAGTCCTATGACAAAGAATTGCAGAATCCCAATGTTTTCAGCAACTGAAGTTTCTCATCAGAAAGAATATTGCACTGCCTCTTCTACTGCTTTGCCGTGATAATTTATTCCCTTTCTGTCAGTCAACAACAGTAAAGTGATGTCACGTGAAATTATTCTGTCACGAAGCAGATTAAAAATGGAGAAATCAAGATGCCAACGAACAGGGTGGAGCTCAATCTACTCTTCTCACGCCAAAAGTGTCAATTAAAGATTTATTATTTATTTTCTTGTTCTCCTGACTTCAGAGATCCACCCAGTGTCACAAATTGGTATTGAAGTCCCAGAACACCCTGTCACTATTCACAACACACTAAAATAGCATCACTGCTTCAATCTCTGAAGAAAGAAGTTTTGACAAGCTGAGGASGGAGGGGAAAAGCACCGTCCTAATCTGTGAAACAAATCTGCATTTATGCCTTATTTATGCCTTTGTCATTACAAATATAAACAAAACTTGTTGCTCTACTTTTCCACATATGAAATACTTCAGTTTTGTGAAGTCTAGAACATCACTATAACAACAGGAGTTACGTCCCAGCTGCCAACTCTTGGTACATTTTTTTTTTTTTACAACATTGGTATTTGTTAATGTGGATGCAGAAATGAGAATGACTAGGATTCAAAGAAAATCTCAGAAGAAATCCGAATAAACAAATAAAAAGTGAACATATTTAATGTCCATGAAACATATTTAATGTCCATGATTATTTTAGAATGGATCAGGATTTTTTGAAAATATATTTTTCACTCTTGTCTTGAGACGTCACCAACCTGCTTTTATGCTAATTATTTGAAACTTACAATTGTAAAATGTCCAACTATCTGGAATTCATCTTATATGTTTAATTTCTCTTATGTCGGACACTGATTTAGGTGCATGCCTTAGGCATGCTGGAGCTGTTTTTTACCTCCCTCCAAAGATTCAAACCCAAAAGAACTTTTGTCAAAGGCTGTGAAAACAAGAAACTCAAGAACTCTTCCAGAGTCAGATTTGCCACACAGAGTTTCTGAATTCCTTGAAAACTGATTTTAGAATTGTACTAGAAAATGCTCACATCCAAATATAATCAGTAATGAAAAGTTTTCTGTACAATAATCAGGCCACTAGTAGCTGCTGACTGACATAAGCTACTGAAACTTTTGCGAAATGGTTAATGGCATGATGCTCAAGAACTCTTTCTCTTTTCTTTCTTGACTTCTATTTGCATATATAGAAATCAGTTTGAGCCTATGGGTGTCACTGTCCTCCTACTGACTAACACAAGGAGATTCCTGCAACGTGTCTCCCCTCTGAAAGCACTTTTCAATAGGGGAACTGAAACAACCAGTAAACTAARAGAGAAGATTTTGATAATAAATGTATGCTGGTAAATGAAAGGAAGAAATGTCAGCTGGGTGCAGCTGAAGCACTGACCTGTCAGTATATGACACTGTTTAAACTTACTCTACAGATGTACTTCCACCAAAGGAGTGGAAGGTTATTATTGCCAACTGCCTTTCCAGCACAAATTGCAGAACTTGCTACCCTATTTAGCACTTCTGTACTTGCACAAGAGCCATTGGGTTTCCTTAGCCATCTATGATACACGAATTCCTGATATGCCTTTGGGGCTATGCACAGCTCTGGGTAACTTTGGAAGTAACTCCGCTTCTTAACATTCCCTGGCACTCCTATGCAAGTGCCTTGCTGCTATGTTGAAGCTCTTCTGCAAGCATTACTATTGCTCACTCTTAGCAATAGTAAAATACTAAACTCATGTTTTCCTCTTATGATGATACCAAACAAGAAAATGTCTTAATTGATCACTCAGCAAGCACAGTGGGACTTTCTGGCTAGCACACTCCTGTACATGCTCTCATCAGCCTGTCCACAGAGCAGTCAACATCTGCTCCTCATTCAGAACTGTTTTGCAGGACTCAGGCCTGGAAGATGAAAACATTGCCTGGTTGTGCCAGGGGTGCCAGTTACACGTTGACTCCTTATGGCTCTCCCCAGATGACCACCTTGTTGCACCTCAGGTTCTCCTCACTTATTTACTGGTGTGACTCAACTAATGGCTCGCCCTTGCAAGGGGGTGTGATTGAATCAGTACAAGCTTGGTTTGCCCCAAATTTTCAGTAAGGGAGCAGCAATACTGCAGCACTTGTTCAATTTCTTGGTCCATAACATCAGMTGAAGGGTCAAAACCAAAGCTGCAGCACACCTAGACCTATGGGTTTCCTTTGTAAATTTGCTACTGGATTTTATAYAGATGTCCAAATGCTATAACCACAAATACACTTCTTTAGTCATAAACATTTACTGCAGGTGGGTAGAGGTCTGTCCATGTAGAAATGCAGATACTACTACAATCACCAAGAAACTTTCGAGACAATGCATCTTTTTGGAATAGCCATTGTACCACACAATGACCAGTAGACTCATTTCACAGGACAGATTGTCTAAGGGRTCTGAAAAGCCCTAGGAATCCAACAGCATTTACACTTCGAAGCTGCTGAAAGGAAGAAATATATTTTAGAATTATACTGGCCAAAATCTGTGAATAAACTAGCCTAAAAGGACCCAATGCTTTCCCTTTGGCCCTAAAATACATCAAGATCGCTGTGAAGAAAAACACAGTGTTATGTTAAAGCCATAAGGTTACTTCTAAGCCCACCTAAGTGACCACATACATCCAAGCTACAGGTGAGCTCTAATAGTGGGAAGACTATTCACTCACAGGTTTAAAAAATAATCCTTCCATAACCTGCCTCTGAATGTACCACCACCGGGGATCACTGACCTGAGTCTACACTAAGGACACACACAGGACTCAAGATCAACAGCATCAAACTCAAACCCAATAACACACTCTGTCCTCAAACATTTGATAATCCTTTTATCTTTGTATAAACTATTAAAATATCTTTCTTCAGATGGCCTACCATTGATGCTAAAGACTTGAATCATTCAAAATGTTGGGTATGTTCCCACATCCCTCTGCAGTCTAGTGCAGGTGTCATCATGCTTCCCATAGCATGTAATTTGTTAGTAAAACAATCAACCTGGAAAATCCTGAAGGCAGAAATTCCTTATCCAAGGCCACAAATGGGAACTGATCCAAGATGATATAACAGAGATATGCATGAAGCTCCAACTCCTACCCACCACCTGGAATTAGTTACACCTTTCATTTACTTGAAAGCAAATGCAACATGCCACATGGGACAGAGTAATTCTCAAAACTGCAGGACATGACAGGATATTACTTCTATATGTATCTACAGTGTTTTTAACATTAAAAAAATGGTACGGTACCATCCATACATAGATGACAATGCTACAGTAAAATTTAATTAGAAAATTAATGTGTGTGTGTCTCAGAAAATTAATGTGAACTTTGTTTTTTCACTTTTCTCCTTCCAGCATTCTGTGTGGAACCAAATCCATTTCAGTATTTACCTTTCAAATAGAAGTTACRATTGCCTATATTATTTTAAATAGTGCTAATTTGAGATTTTAGTTTCAGATTTTATGTTTTAAGGAATAACTGAAGTATTTTAAAAAGCACACAGGAAAATACCAAAACAGTAGAAAGTGTTGCACTTAAGCTTCTATATATGTAGTTGCACATCTATCCAAGCATAAAAACTTTGCACAGACACTTCATCTGTTAAATAACTCAGCTGCAACATCTGCACAATACAAATAACAATATAAATAACTATGATCAACCATGTACACAATTAGAAGAAGTAAGGAACACCAAACATCCCATCAAAAGGAAAAAAAAAATTACACACTCACCACAGTCTTTGGGGTTAACCTTGGGCTAGGTGTCCAACACAAATACAAACTCAACAGAAAAAGCCTACAGTCTTCTTTTCCTTAAAGAGGTCATGAGCTTTATGGTTCCGTTTCTGACCTTGCTTTCTTACTTCTCCTCAACATGYCACTCACTTCTAGGAGTCCTTATTCAAAGGCTTGTGTAGGATCTCAAGTACCAATGCAGGATCCTCAGTTAAAAACTTCTGGGAATACAGGAGAGGGTGCTGAGGTTGCAAGGGGAAATTACCATTTTTTTCAGCAACATCTAACAGGATGTTAACTGCTGCTTGAGTATGTTTCATCTGAAGTTATCTGCAGTGATTATTTTATGTTCCTAAAAACAAAGTGTTTTCTGAAAGAAAAAAGCTTCTTGTACACAGTTTGTGAAAGACAGAACTCTGAGAATCAGTTCTTCCATCATACTATTAATACCAGAGGTGAAAACCTAAAATCCAGTTTGATATCTTCCAGATTTAAAACAAGTCTTTCTTTAGTAACTGATAGGTACTGAGTAATTACACAGTCGTAAAAAGATTTTTTGTCATCACCAAGTGCATGAATGAGAACCTAACTATGTGACTGATTTGTATTTTAGCATTAACTCACCATGAGTATCAAAATAAAGAATACAGTAAAATACACCTTTATATTTGAAAAGCTTTTATAAATAAGTCTTCTGTAAAATACCTAATTTTAATCTCTTATCTSATATAAATATCTCTTACTTTTACCTCATCCAAGCAATGATTCATTTTGGTACTTAATATAATTTGCTCAGATGTATCTCTTGGCAAGATATTACTTGATTTTAAGCATGTAGTGAGGCAACTATTTCATTCTATCATTGTACAGCCCTGCGTGCTATTTGAAAATGATTATTTTTCTTTTTTTCCGACTTATGATCTCCTCTAATTTTCACTTCTGTCTTGGTTTGAAAGACAGGTGTTTGCTAATGAAGGCAGGGACCCCCCCYTKGRRKKGKKG